ACTAAAGAGGAAAGGAAATATATAGTTCACTCCGACATATTAATCCAAATACATATAGAACGAAACCCCCCTTTAATAAGAAAAATAGATTACAGATTCATAAACTACTGTTCTCAGAGAACTAGCAAGTAGATCCATTTTGAAAAATAATATTTCAAAATTTAAAATATAAATATAAAAGCTCTTTCCAAAGAGGGCCCAAGAGTGGGCTCTTCCCCTTCATAAGGTGTGAAAAGCCAATAACCCACCATGGCTGTACCTCTGTTTTTATCTTTTCATTAGCACAAGCAACCACCAGGACACCTAAGATTTGAAATGCAAAGTACTTTACAAATTTGACCTTGGAATTTTGGGTAGGTGATTTGGTCGTCACGTGCAGTTTAGTAATTCTATCAATGCATTCGACTGATTAATACCTTCCATCCTCTATCAACAAGGAAAAAAATCAACTGTGGTTTCAGAAATTCTTTGTGGCACGCGAAAAGGAGCTTGACTAACAAGTTAGGCAATAGGTAGCTATCAATATTTTAAATTACACTAAGGTTGAACCGAAAAGAATAACGATATTCATCATTACTGATTATGATCATCGGAGTAACAGTAAGGTCACAAACTCACGGCCATATTGTCCAATGAAGTTGAAATGCAGTTTTAACATTACCCAAGTTTGTTCAATGGCCTTAAGCTAGTGAGTGGAAAAAACCAAGTCAGTATTCAAACGAATTAGATGAAGTCTTTTCTTATTGAATGATGGAAGTTACTACTTTCCTTCTTATATAGCTATTAGAAAATCTACCTAATCTTCTCTTTCATAAATAAGCATTAGCAAAAGGTGATCCACTATAGGTTGTAATCTTCTTGATATATTAGGTCAAGAGGACGAGGCACATAGCAACGGAGGAATGGGGAGCGGGTAAGCAAGCTCCTATCACTGTGAAAGTTGCGGATCTCTTTGCCTCTTCTATCTTCCTTAATAAAATATTGCTCAGTAGCTTCCTAGGCTTCCGCACCTCTTTCTTAAGCTAGATGTTAGGCTAACTTCACTAGCCAAGGTCTCCACATGATGAGGTGCCCGTTGGTATCTGCACTCTTGTTCTGAACCTTACACCTCTCAGGCCGAACAGAGCCTTTTGCCTGAGGCTGCACTGAACTCAACAAGCACCAAAACCTATGGGTATAGGGTCCAAGCGATGAGGTTATAGTGTTAAATCATTACCCACACAACTAGAGGTGTCAATCCGAGTGGTTTGGGCCGGGTCGGCCCATCAACATATGAGTTCGGTAACGGCCCGCGTGAAAAAAAGTCCGCCCGCTACGGGTTCCGGGTCGGTCCACAAATTTTGGACTGCAACCCGGCCCTCCTGCTG